CCGCCTCGTCCGGGTCCCGCGCCCACACACGCGCCAGCTCCGCGCCCGCCGCGTTGTTCTCCCGCGCCAGCACCGTGTACACGGCCTGCGCGAACGACGGCGCGTTGTCGTTCACGTCGGACACCGGCACCCGCAGGGCSCGCCTGGCSCGCAGCGGCGGCGTCCCGCCGTCCTCCGCACGCACCTCCACCTCGTACTCCGACACWCGCTCCCGGTCCAGCGCCTCACGCAGCACCAGCGAGTACGAGCCCTCGAACGTCGACACCACACCGAACGGCGACGGCGGCCACACCGTGCACCGCACGCGMCCGTTCGACCCCGAGTCACGGTCCGACACGCTCAGCAGCGCCACCACCGTCCCCAGCGCCGCGTCCTCGGCCACCGGCACCGACAGCGACGTCACCCRCACCTCCGGCGCGTTGTCGTTCACGTCCAACACCTCCACCACCACTTTGCAGTGCCCCGAAAGGGGAGGTGTACCCCTGTCTTCCGCTTCTACTTGTATCTCGTAAAGACGAACCTCTTCAAAATCCAGGGGACCTGTCAGCCTCATTTCCCCGGTGCTTGGCTCTAGCACGAACAGGTCTGTTCCACTGGCAGGGATTACACTGTTCATTGTGTACAACACTTCGCTGTTAATTCCCTCGTCCAGATCCGTGGCGCAGACATGAACCAGTCCCTCCCCTTCTAGGGCGCTCTCCGCCAGCTGTACTTTGTAGACMGACTGGTTGAAYTCRGGCGCGTTGTCGTTCACATCCAGCACCGAGATCACCAGCTCCATCGTSCCCGAYARMGAYGGTCTGCCCCCGTCACTCSCAGTCAGCAGTAAACGGTGTTCAGCCATCGCCTCCCGGTCCAGCGATTTCGASAGAACCAGAAACAAGGACTCACTRTATTTTTCGTTCTTTTGCAGTTGCAGAGAGAAATGCTCGCTGGGGCTCAGTTTGTAGGAGAGCTGCGCGTTCGCTCCGATATCCGAGTCYGACGCGCCCTCCAGAGGGAACCTGGAACCTGGAGGAGAAGTCTCCGAGATGCTGAGGTYTTTYCGGGCGGCGGGGAAGAKCGGGGCGTTGTCGTTGATGTCGGTGACCTCCAGCTCCACGTGAAAGACGCGCAGCGGCCGCTCCACCAGCACCTCCAGGCGCAGCACGCACGGCGCGCTCTTGCCGCACAGCTCCTCCCGGTCCAGCCGCGAGCTCACCACCAGCGCGCCGCTCGCCCCGCTCACCTCCACGCTCGCCGCACGATCCTGGGCCACCAGACGCAGCCCACGCGCCTCCGCCTCGCCCGCCTCCACGCCCAGGTCCTGCGCCAGCCGGCCCACCACCGTGCCGCCCTTCGCTTCCTCCGGCACCGAGTACCGCACCTGACCGCCGACCAGCGCCCACGCCGCCTGCAGCACCAGCAGCCGCACCGCGCACCGCACGCCCATGGCCAGCGCCGCTCCCGCACCGSACCCGSGCGCTTCCCCGACACCCACGTCCCCCGCCGCCGCTCTCCGGCACCGCCGCSTTTGCCCTCCCGCTCCCCCCGCGCTCACAGCCGGGCTTTCCGCCGCACCGGGGCGGAGCCGACGCAGACGCCGCCGTTTCTGAGCCTGCAGCGACACCGTGTGACCCGCCGCCTCACACGCCACCACGGAGCCGCCTTGTTCTTGTTCCCTCTGCCTGGTCTGGAGCCGCGGCCCCCGCCATCCCACACCTCCCCCGGCACGGACATGACCCAGCACCGCCGCTCCGGCTGCGCACTCGGTCAGACGACACGGAACTTTCTGCTCGGCCCTTCGTAGGAAACACCAGCACGGATCGGGAATCTCTTCCGGGATAATCTGCCGTTCCCGGAACAAAAGATATCCAGCGGTAACCTTCGCCTTCGGTGCCTCAGTTCAGGCTCTGTCTCCGTAAAAGAACTCGCTTCTTTCAGCAGCCATACAGACGAGCAATACAGAACACTGAACCGTTTACTTTTTTTTTTTTTTCATTTGTTTCCATAAAGGATCAAGGAGTTGGAAGTGGAAAGTGCTTTAAGACCTGCGACTTGTGGTAACTGCTCCCAGGAGGTGCAGGAAAGCTTTGTCGAGTGGCAAAATCTGCACCATAACAAAAAAGTACGCAGAAGGAAGAGGAATGAGAGATCCAATACCTCTTCCTACTCGAAAACGTTATGGTAGACCGTACAGAGAACATGGGAGCTCCCCTGTTTTTTTTCCTTTTCTTTTTTTTTTTTTTTTTTTTTTTTTGTGAGAAGACAGCAATGACTGGAAAAGCTCACCAGGAAAATGAAGTACATGAAGAACAGCTGACTTCGGTCTCGTCTTTCCTCAGGAGGTGCTCTCACAATTTATGATGGTGAGCTTTTTTTTTTTGTTGTTTTTTCTCTCTCCATACTGCCTTTCCCTACATTTCTTACTCCATTTCTCTGTCCTACCATTAACTTGGATAACCATCCCTACCATTCTGTTCTTGTCTCCATTTCTCCTCCTTTGGTTATGTCYCCGCTTTTGCAATAGTGTTTTCTAAATACTGATACCACTCTTTGCATGTACAGGCAGGACTGTAGATATAACCTCCCCTGCCTCTTTCTCATTATATCTTGCATGAAGTCCTGAGGATTCTGAAGGTCTCTTGGGAACTGCTTTGCTCAGGAACTCTCTCTGTATGTGCAAGTGGACAACCACTGTGGCATTTAGCACTCCTGCAAAGGCCTTCAGTGACTCCTTCCATCCTCCCCTCTGTCCTTCACAGCTTAGGGCAGTTCCAAAGATCGTGCAGACCTCACATCTCATTTCCAAAATTTCACAGACCTCAAAACGAAAGAGTCTACATCTTACATGAAAATACTGAAACATCTCTGAAATCAGTCTGGCAATAGGGAAAGGGACTGGTGCTGGTGGAGGAAATACTGTCCCAGGTGGTACATGCACACTCACCCTCAGCTACCTAATATTATCCCAATATATATAACTGTACTCCCAAGAAATCAAGCAAGGCCTACAACCAGGGGAGCCATTAAGGGTACAGTCAGGAGCCATGAGTGACCATCTTCCACTGGTGAATGGAAATATGCATGCCATCAGTGTCCTGGAATCAAGGACCAAAGAGAGAACAGGAGTTTTTCCACTCACCACACTGAGTCCGACTAATACAGAGGCAATGGAAGAAAGGACATCCTGCGATGCTGTGACCATATGTAAGAGGGATAAACAGCAGAGTACGTAGGAAACAGTTGTGGTTTTCCCCTGCTTCTCACAGGTGGGCACACCACCTGCGAGGCATGTGCTCCGCTGCCTCACATGTGCCCACAGAGTCACCTTGTCCCAAGTGCCAGGCCAGGGTCACTACAAAGGGCCTCGGCACTCGCCACGTCTCTGGGCATGGACATGACCTGGCACCAATGCTCTGCTCCCCTCTCAGCTCAGACAGTGTGGATTTCTCTGCTTGGCGCTTCACATGGAAAAACCACCATGGATTGGGGACCTCTTCTGGGATAATCCAGCTTCCTCAGAACAAGACTTATTTAACTGTAACCTCTGTCTCCCATTACAGGGTTCTGGCTCTTGCTCTTTACGAAGACAAAGAATGGCCTTTTGCACCCACACAGTCAAGAGAGCAAGCAAACAAAAATGGGGCTTACTCTTGCTAGTTTGCCTGTAATCAATTGAGAAGAACTGGAAAGTGATGTAAGCCCTGTGGTAGCTGCTCCAACGGGGTTCAGGAAAACCCTGGAAAGGGGGAGAATCTGCACAAAACCAACAAAGGCTGCAGAGGAAACAGGAACGAGAGATCCTTTCTGCCCCAGTTCTGCACTTTATGGTCAACTATGCAGGGAACGGGTGAACGCCCCTCACTTTCATTGCGAGACAGGCATGATGACATGAAAAGGGGAAGAGATGCAGGGGAAAATGGAGCATGTAAAAAAAAAAAATCACCCTCTTCCATCTGTTCTTCCTTTCTGAGGAAAGGAAGAGCCCTCTGAGGAATGCTGAGCCCTCAGAATTCATGCTGCTGAGTTCTTTTTATTTCTCTTCTTAATGTGATCCATTTTGTTCTCCTTCCTCTCTATCTCATTCCATTCTATTGTTTCCCTGAATGTTTTTTTCCTTCTTCTCACTACTTCTTCTTGAGCCTGTCCCTTTTCCAAAGCATTTCTATGCATTTTTAATAATAGTTTGGGAAGGAACTTGTGCTAAACCTCTGCTGCTCTTCCTGCTTCTTCCCCAACATGTCCTGCATGAGGTTCTCAGTACCAAGGATTCTGAAGGATTCTCAGAACGTTTTTTTCCCAAATAAGTTGTTCTCTCTCTTGCACTCTTCCTCTCTGCATCTCTCTGCATGTGCCAGTAGATGCAGAGCCCCTGCGGTAAAGAGCACACCTGGGAAGGCCTTCAATGACAGCACCCTGTCCTCACCTCTTTTTTCCTTGCCTTGTCCTCACTCCTCTTTGCTCTGTAGACTATAAAGGCTTCTTGCAGGCCTTGCAAATCATGCACGGCTGTGACCTGTTTCACCTTGGAGCTACACGATGCACTTCTGCGTCTCTTTCCAGGCAGACATCCACTACCAGAGTAACAGAGCCAAGACTTCAGCATGAAGTATCAATAGGAGATTAATTTCCCATGCAGTGTCTCAGAATCATCAGTATCATCCACCCAGTCCATAACCAAACAAAAACCATGATGGTTATCCTACAGCATTAAAAAAAAAAATGCAGGAAAACATTGACAAGGGGCAGAATCTGTGCAATAACAATCAAGAATGCAGGAAGAACAGCAATGAGGGATCTAGTGCCTCATGTTGCTCCAAKATAGTTTGGTTGACAAAGCAGGGAATGAAAGAGCTCCCCTCGATTCCTCTGYAAGAGGTGCACGATGAGCCCAAAAGCAGAAGGGATGCAGGAGGACAACAGAACACATGAAAAATCACCCTCTTCARTCTTGTCTTCCTTCCATGCAAACCTCTCACAATTCCTGCTGGGGAGTTCTCTTTTTTTCTCCTCACTATCTTGTCTTTCCCTCCATTCCCTACTCCTTCCCTCCTGCCTCCTTCCATTCTCTTCACAACCCATGTTCTTCTTGCATTTCTCCTCCTCTTTTTCTTCCCTTTTCCRAAGTGTTTTCTAACTATAAATGCCCCCCTTGACGTGAAGCAGGGGCAGCACTTTAGGCAAAACCACTCTTGCCTCTTCCTCGTCATGTCACACACGAACTCCTGAGTATTGAGGAATCTGAAGGACATTCAGGAACTGATTGCAAGGGAAGTATCTCTCCCTCTGTCTCTTTGTGCATGAGTCTCTGGACTCAAGAGCCAATGTGGCATGGAGCATTCATGGGAGTCCTCTTCAGCCTCCATCTATGACAAAGACCATGGCCTGCACACCACGTATAGGCAGAGGAGAATCATTTCTGATCACTGCTAAATGCAGGCACAGATTATTCCCTTTTGGATGGCCGTCTTCGAGAAACACGTGTGACTCAGGGATTTCTTGCACTCCTCRTCATCATCAGAAAGCGTAGCACAGAGCAAGGAATGCATATTACAAGGAACATACGTACAAGGAATAAGCCGTTAACAGAATGGTGTACCGGTTATCACTCAGCCAGCCTCACACACAGTCCATATGGATGATCCTAGCAATGTCAGGAACTTGATACATATGGAGATAAGTCTGGAAATATATTGGCAATGAAATCCTTACAGAAGGGTGAAGAAAAGAGAATGACCAGGGATCTAGTGTTCTTCCTTTTGCACAGGGAAGAAGTGCAAAGGATTTATTTCTTATTCCAGGTTAACATTTCAGGCAGGGCATTCACACATAGAACAACAGAGCCAGGAGTTCGCAACCCACAGTTCAGAACACTTATATACAGAAGGAAAACACTGTCCACACTGCTGACACATCTGTGAAATCTTCCAAAGTCTTACTGTCAACATAGCAAAAGAGTCTGCATATTGCACACAAATACTTAAAACATTTCTTATATCAGGCTGGCAACAGAGAAAAGGACTGGTGCTACTGGGGAAAATGGTGTCCCAGCTGGGACACGCATGCTSTCCCTTAGTCACCAAGCTATTATCAGAGTATATTTATCTGTACTCTCAAGAAACCAAGCAACCAGGAGAGACATTAACGTGCACAGTCAGGAGCCATGAGCAGCAAGTTTCTACTGGTGTTGCTGGACAGTGAACACAAGTCCTTGACCAMTGACCCTGACATCACAGAGCATCTTAAATTTCCCCTCCTCAAACTTTCCTGTATCTTGCACCTACCTTGAGATTTGCCCTTCTCCTGTAGCCCTGTAAARAATCAGTTATGTTAGCAACATCCTGGAATCAAGGCCTTATCAAAGACCACCTTCACCTCCTGAAATGTAATTCAAGCTTTTGCTTCTTCCTGGAGAGAACTGGAGTTTTTCCACTCATCCCACTGAGTCCA